ACCGAATGGAACCGCGAGAACACTGATTAGGGTCCCCCTATTTTCGGAAACCCCCAAATGCCCACCTCTTCGAACTCCTTGAAGCTCAGCGCGCCGTCCTTGCCCCGATCATACCTGCCGCGAGGACCCAAGGCTGTATCGCTTAGAGGCCCAGAGTCCAGGGGGCCAGGGCTTGGGGAAGAGTCCGCGCTTTAGGGTTCAGGGTTAGGGGTTTAGGGGTTAAGGGTTTAGGGGCTTAGGGGTTTAGGGTTTAGGGCTTAGGGTTTAGAGCTTTTAGGACGGAGAGTCCAGGCTGTACTTTAAAGGCAAAAGGCAGCTGGCAATGGAGTGCTTGATGTCTCAGGCGCCATGGACGGTTCAAGCTCTAATTCTCAAATGGGGGTTTCCGAAAATAGGGGACCCTAATGTAGTACCCTAAATGCTAGGATCCTTATTGTAAGACTCCAACATAAGGTACCCTAATTTTCGGAAAGTCCCAAATAGCATCGACTTCTACCTCAAGCCTGAACCAAGAACCTCCTGTTTATAAATCCCTAACCGCCATTCCCCTTCTCACAATCTAGCTGTAAAACATCAAACCCCCAAACCCGAAGACCACCCTAAAGCCTTAAACCCCTAAAGCCCTAAACTTCCAAGGCCCGCAACCCCCTAAACTCTAAAACCAAAATTAGCATCCCAAACCCCCTAAACCCTAAAACTAAACCCCCTAAATCCTTAAGCCCTGGACCCCTACTTGCCAGCGCGTTCGCCTCGCAAGAAGAGCTGCAGTTGCACGATCGAGCTCCTGCTTTCTCGGCGTTTCAAACAACCAACTCTCTCGGGGGGGTCCAGAACCTCTGTTTGGCTGTTTTAGGCTTTCGGGTTTAGGGTTAAGGGTTTAGGGTTTCAGGCTTTTAGGGTCAAGGATTGAAAGGGTCGACAGTCCAAAGCGGAGCCACCAACTCGAAGAACACACCGAGTGCCCAGTCTGGTTCAGGGTATGCCCAGGAACAGGGATTCTCGTGCAAAGCGGGCCTCGAAGACCCGAACACAAATCTCGAAGAGCGAAGGTCGTCCTTGACAAATTTTGAACCCCTCTGCCCTGAACACCAAAACGCTCAAACTAAGAGCTCTACCAGGTACTCTACCAACTCTCAAAAGAAACGGGGCATCCTAAGAACCTTGAGAACTGAAGACCCGACAAACCGTAATCCAGAACCCTAAACCCCTAAAAAAATAGGGTTTAGGGTTTAGGGAACCTCCCAAACCCGGTAAGGGCCCTGTAAAGACGCTTCTGCTGGGGTGGCTGGGGTCTTTTCCTTTCCTCGTCCGTGGCGTGGCTTTTGACCTGTCGGCAGCAAAGCTTCGCCGCAGCTTCAAGGAAACACAAGCTTAGAGGGTTTCGGGTTTGGGGCTTAGTGTTGAGGGGTTTGGGGTTGAAGGGGTTCGGGGTTTAGGGTTCGATGGTTTTAGGGTTTGGATGGGTTTGGGGTCTCGGGTATAGCTTGCAACAGAAAGAACACTTGAACGGTTGCTAATCAGAAGCACCCTAAATGCTAAACCGTCATCAGAGTACAAAGCTCGAAATGAGCTGCATGTTGGATTCTGATGAAATCTGGGCTTTAGTAGGGTTCTTTAATTAAAGGATTACGGCTTCGGCCATGGGAGGGTTGAACTGGTTCAGGGTGGCTTAAGGTTTATTGGGTTGAATGCGCCACCTGCGCATATAAGTGTCCGCACATTCTGGCACCAAGCTCTTCAACCCTCAAACCCGACAGCCGGTTCTTATACTGATACCACTACCCATACCCATACGCATGCTATCAGTACGAGTACTCCTGATCAGTACTATAGCTTATACTGATGCTAATACTATAAGTAACAGGCTCAGGAGGCGCTGGGTCGGCTCTAGGGCTCTGGCTTCCGTCAAAGAGATGGGGGAGTCCTTCTGAGAGCCAAAAAAAAATAATCCCCAAAACACCCGTAGGAGCTTGTTTGGGCCTCTAGGGCTTCCGGCTCTAGCTTCGAGATCCGAAGCCACGAAGTTGCAGTATCCGTTTCTGAGCTCTGCTTCCCTGCGCACTCCGCAGCAAGCCAAGAAGGGCCAAGGCTGGCCTCCAACAGCAAAGAAGCAAACAAACAGGCCCTGTCCGCTGCCCAATCGCCAAGCTGAGGGGTGAGTCGCCTCTTCGGTTCGTCCGGAAAATGTCGGAACCTGCCTGGCGTAGCAAACATACGATTTCCTCCCGACCAAAACGGCACGCCACGCAGAGGGGTGTTTCGCCACTGTTGTCAGCCTGGTCTACATTGAGCCCAGTGTCCAGCAGCAGGCGGACCATGTCTGTGTTTCCCCTGCACGATGCCACCCAAAGAGGCGTTTCACCTCGGCAGTTACATCTCTGCTTGTCCGCTCCAGCCTCCAGCAGCAACTTCGCTATGTCCACGCGTCCATTTCGCGAGGCAGCCAGGAGGGGCGTGATGTCGTGTCTCCGGTCTCCAAAGTCTGCATCAGCGCAAGCTTCCAAGAGGAGGCGTACGATCTCGAGATGCCCACGCTCGGAGGCGTAGTAAAGAGGCGAGAGACCAAGAATTGAATCGACTACATTTGGATCGTGGCGTAGCAGCAACACCCGCTCAATCTCCGCGAAGCAGCCAGAGGCTGCAAAGGCTGTGAGCTTGTCTTCATCATATTGCGAGGTCTCAGCATAGGGGAGTAGAAGCAGCTGAACATCGGAGGTCTGCAAGATCTCAGAATCCTCCAAGACAGCACCGCCCTTACAGAGCTCCTGTCTGAACCTCGGGATCCCCGAGAGGCCCTGGAGCCGCTGCTTCAAGCTCCTCACATCCGATAGCTCCTCCCTAGGGATGGAGGCCACCTCGGAACCTGAGACCATCCACACGTGCAGCGTCGATGCCATGGCCGCCGGAACGAAGGGAACGTCTCGAACACATACACAGCAAATTAACCAGTTAGGTTAGATAGATAGCTGGATAGATAGGTAGGTAGATAGACAGAGATAACTGGATGTGACATCCGATTGCGTGGCTTCACCTGCCCTTCTCATGAAGTGATGGTCAGGGTTTGTCGGTCCCTCAGCCTGTTGTCAATCTCGACTTACTTCTGTGACTCAGACGAGAGGATAAGCGGTTTTCGCAATCTTCGCCTGTAGCATAAGGAGACAAGAAAGGCAAGAACCTCGCAGCACCGAAGTCTGCAACAATCGTGTCCCTACAGAAACACATCCTGCATCTGAAACTCCCACCTACAGCCTTCCTTCTAAGCATCGTGCTAGTTGGGTGCGCAGGATGGACCCTGGGCTATAGCCTGGCTTCTCAAGCCCAGCCAGGAAGATGCTGTGAGCCGTGGTAGTTTGGAGTTTCGGGTTTGAATGCCTCGGGAGGGCCCCTGGAAAGCTTGGGGTCCTGGCTTTGTCGGAATCTCGGACCACCCCCCCCCCCCCCCCCACCACGATTTAGCTGCTTGCTGCTCGGCGTGGTTTGTCTGCTTTTCGTGGGACGGCCGCTAAGAAGGCGGCACCGCCTCGCAGATCCTGAGCCCTGATGACTTTGCATAAATTGTAGCCGATGTACGCGAATGGGAATCCCAAAAGCTCGCCAGTTCCCTTGACATGACTTCCACCCGTAGGTCAACGCACTCATCTGGCCTCAGCGATCAATGCACGAAGCTCCGCGAAGCAAAGCGTACCTGAGTCGAGCTGTCAAGACTGATGGAAAGGACCTCAAACCCGAGAGCCTAAACCCCCAAAACGCCTTTTCCTTGTTCCTCCACCGTGTCACAACAACATTGTGTTCTCTGAGGCGCTTAATGTCCTATGGCCGGCAACGCCTGAATCCCGAACAACACCTGCTTCGACTCTTAAACAGCAGTAAAGTCCTTTAAAACCCTTCTGGGAAACCCCCCGCAGCACTGCGCTCCGCGGACTGAAAGGCCTGACAAGCTCTCCAAAGTCCTCAAGCCCTTCCAACCTGTGAGACCATGTCCCTAAACCCTAAAACCCCTAAACAAGCTGTCAGACCATGGGATCCCAAGGCTAAGACCCGACTCGTCGATATCGAGGCGGTCGAAAGCTTTCCGTAGCTCCTCGAAGTCTCAAGTCTATCGAGTTTCAGGGCTTCGCGCTTCGGGGTTTGAGTTTAGGGGGTGTGGGCATAGAGCTTCGGGGTTTCGAACAATTGCGTTATCGGCAGTTTAATGTTTGGGATCTGTTAAGACGTAGGTCCTGCCTTCAGATCGGCTTTCATGGGCGTTCGCAAGTTCTGAAGGGTGTTTGCAGGCTTCAGGGGCTCCAGCCATTTTAAGGATGTAAGGGCTCTCAGGGCTTGAAGGGTTGATGGATTAGGGCTTTGGGCGACAAGGGTTTTAGGTGCCTAAAACGGCCCAGGGAGCTAAGTGGTGTAAGGATTCGATGCATTCTGATGCTTCTGTTGGGTGCTTTCTTTGGCTCGTTGTATTTGATGCATTTGGGGTGTAAGGTGTGTGGCTGCTAAGGCTCTGTTTTCTGCTGTCGCAGGGCCTGCGGCTTTCGTCCTCAAGTTCCTTCAAAACTTTGCCGAGAGCTTTGGAAGGGTATACGTGCTGGATTCAGTCTCGGCTGCTTGAAGGCTTGAAGAGGGAAAGGCTCAAGGGCTTGTATGGTTTAGTAGTGTTAGGGCGATATGGCTCGGTTCAGGGTGCGCGGACGTGCATGCTCCACATATGGACGTGTGAGCGAAGAAGCTGCGCAGCAATGTCGAGCTGACCATAAAAGGACCCCGAAACCTTGGCGACTTCCGTGAAGCAGCATGCCAAGAATTTCTTTTGACTGTCGATCAAAACCGCAACCGAACGCTACAGCAAGACAGAAGAGAAAACTATCCCAAACTTCTCCCGTTCTCTGAAAGAGCTCAGCCCTTGAAGCCCGCTGGTGGCGGTCATGCGGTTGCGTTGAAGTCACCCGCAAGGCCTGCACAAATATAAGATGCAAGGCTACGAACCCGTGCTGCAGACGCATGTGAAGATCGCTTGTGTGAATGATTTCTCAGGATGTTGGGCGTCGTTGGGCAAGCTGTCGCCTTGCAGGCCAGGGTGACTCCGTTGTTCGCGTCGAGGGGTTCTGCTTCGGGAGTCTTCAGAGTCTGTCCTTGAAGCAACCACCAGAGACCAAAGACACCGAAGCGGGTCCTAACCAGAACGCCTCGAGCCTAGACCGGGCTTGTGAAGGGAGTTTCAATGTTAAAAACTAACATGTACTAACATAACAAGGAAAGCATGTTGTGTTGTGTCATGCATGTTATGGTATCCTAACAGTAGTATTATTTTCACCTCTGCCACGGATTCGGGTAAGAACCTGACGAGGCCGGGCTCTTGGCGAGAGGTCAGTACAGGAGTCCGGCCTGGATGAAGTTGCGCGGCGGGATGATGAGCGCCAGCTCCTAGCCGTGTGACGATGAGAGTAACCCCTCTTTGACCACAGGGCCTGCAAAGGCCCCCTAGGCTTTCTAAAAGTTTTAGGATGTTGCGTTAGTTCAGAACTTCAGGGTTTAAAGGGTTGCTTGGGGTCTAGGGTTGGCTGGTCTATAGGCTATAGGGTTTGACTCCTTGTTACTTGCGCTTCAGGAGCTCGAGGCCTCTGCACTCGACCTGCTATCAAGGCCTAGCCGGCTCGAGACCAGGGCATCCCTACTCTCGAAACCAAAAGAATCACAGAGCTTTTTGTAACAACTCTAAGCCGCTCCCTCACGAAAAAGAAGCCCGAAAGCAAGACACAATAGCACCACAGAATCCCTACAACCCTTTGGAATATCCGCTACCGTGGCCGTCCTCGAGCCCTCATAGGGAACCCGTTTACGGAGCCTTGTAATAGTCTGGGAAGCCCCATACTGAAACCTAAACCCTAAACCCGAAACCCTAAACCTTAAACCTTCAACCCTAAACCCTATAACCCTAAACCCTAAACCCGAAACCCTAAACCCTAAAACCCGAAACTCTAAACCCTAAACCTTAAACCCTATAAACCCTATAGCCCTTAAGGACTCCTTATTGGAAGCCTCTCCTCGGTACTCAGCGTCGGAGAAGCTTCGGGATCGCCCTGAGCCAGGGCATTGAGAGGGCCTCTAAACACATATGTGGACTGGGCTCTCTTCTGCCTTTTTTAAAGGCTTTCCAGGGCTTATCATTCAAATCGGGAGGAGCTATATACTTTCTAATTCTAAGGCAGCCCTCAGGATTGTTAATGTCGTTGACTTCACTCTCTGTCCAGTTGAAACTCCTCCCGCCTGAGATGCCAGTCTCCTGACGGGGGGCCGCAGCTCTCGCGCCCAGAGCCGACACCCCTGGCGAGCTCGGACAGACCGAGAGGCCCAGCAAGGCTTCGATGCTACAAGACGGCTGTCTTGTGGTTTTCTAAGGAATGTACACAGGGCTGTGGAGGGAGGGCTAGCGTTGCCATTGTGTAGGGTGGTTTGTGATGGGCTTTGTAGTGTGCGCACTGCGCAGAGTCTGCGATGGGCTTGATGGGGTGTTCAATGGTTTTTGTAGGGCTAACAGTAGGCTTCCAACTGCTTCGACCGTGTTCCAGTTGTATCTAGATCTGACGAACATCTTAAAGCCTTTGCAGCCTTTGCAACTTGCAGCCATATGCCAAGAACCCTCAGCCCAAGAAGCTCAAACGAATCGCAAACGGCCGAAGCCTGCTCGCTCGGGTTTCGAACCTGATTTGGGGTTTAGTGAGTTTAGTGATGAACCGCTGAGGCCTTGGTCCCGAAAGCCAGCTCACTTCTGCTGTTTGGCTCGTGCGCAGGCGATTGGGGCCTTCTCTCGTTACATGGGAGCTCCTGCACTTAGCTAACCGGAACACTTCCCCGATGCCACTGGCCAAGAAGACCCGAAACTGCAGACCACCACCGTCGGTACTCTGAGCAAGCCTGGCAGGTGTCACAAGCGTCCACAAGACTTCAGCCGTGTTTGTGCAGCAGAAATGAAAGCTTGGCAACGGCTGGCCCTCCCCCCAACCCAAACTCCTGAACCCTAAAGCCGTAAAGCCTGCTTAGCCTCTTTTATATTACCGACCCGACGATTCCCATAAGACCCAATGACCCGTGAATGTCCCTGGGGTCGTGACCTGAGGCGCGCTTCGCCATGCGATCCGCTGGTATGTCCCCAGCAGGCGGCCGCCACAGCAACGCGTGCCGCGCAGCATCGCGCCAGGAGCCCACGGAACGGGTGCACAACTTTGAGGCCTTGAGGTGCTGCTGCTAGGGGTTTAAGGATGCTACTAGGTGTTCGGTCTGACAGTGCAAATTTGCTTGGTGGGTGTAGCTTTTTTTGGGGGGTTTCCCACGGTAGTAGGGGCCCTGCCCTGTCAGCGGATCCTACACCAATGAGCAGAAGGGCTTGCTTGCGGTTGAGAGCGCTGCTCTGCTGACATGATAACATCAAAGTTCAAGGCCTTTCGTCTCGGGCCGAACGCCGGAGAAAGGAACGACCACCATCCAGTAGGGGCTCTGCGGCCACGAAGCACCGCAGGCGTTTTTCACATGCTTTTGCTTATGTTCTGCGGCAGATGAAGGACTTTGGGCCCAAATCGTGCGCTTGTGACCGTCCTTGCTGGTTCGATGGCTGGGAAGTCCCTTGTAGTACGACAGTTTGACAAGCGCCTCTTGAGTGGTCTCAGCATGGCAGTACTCTACCTGCATCGGCGAGCCATCATCATAAGTCTCAAGTTCCATCCCGTGGCGGGCTCCCACAGAAGCACGATGAGCCATTGCAAAAACGCGGAATCCGAATCTGCAATGCTTCTAAAGAATGTTTTGCAAAAGATCTCTTCAAGTGCGATGCCGTCTTAGCGCCAGGGCCACGCAGTGGCCCTGTCCTTTATCTGGGGTACGAAGCCCGGCTCTTGGGATGCTGGTGTTGCAACACCAGCTTCTTCATGAACACCCTTACATTCATGACTGATGCAATCCGACAAGGACATGCATCTGAACAAGACTTTGCTCCAACTCTGAATCTTCAAGCATGGCTCACGCACGTGAGGCCAACAACAACACTCTTTGTAGCAGCTGTCGGTATCATTAGTGTAGGGGCCTTAATAATTAGAACAGGGTTTGGGGGCCCATTATACTATACTTATAGTAAGGAACCCCTAAAACAATATAGGTAGTTATGAAGGCCCCTATCATTCACTGATCCCTTCGCCAGGTCAGATCGTGTAGTTCAGGTTTCTTCGCAGCCTGGGCAGTCTACAATCATCTCGGGTACTTCAATTCAGGGTGCAAGAGATCTCACTTGCGCCTCTGTATACCCAAAAGCCGACAGGACGGAGAACGCCGATTTCGTTGTGTAGGTCCCAGCCACAAGCCTCGTAACCCTGACGAAAAGTCACCCTAACAAAAAGCCAGCCATCTTGCGAAACCTTGCAAACCTGCACCTCCAAGCGCTGCACCCTGAACCCTACATCCTAAACGCCATAATTCCCACAAGCCCTAAGCCCCATAATTCCCATAAAGCCTAAACCCCATAATTCCCATAAAACCCCACAAGCCCCAATGGGCGAGGTGCAGCGCCCGAGCGACCAAGTTCATCGGACCCGGCGACGATGCCCTCGGCGACGCCACCAGGATCGTCTGCGGCGGGGTTTTACGGCTTTGGGTTTTAGGGTTGGTTAGGATAAGAAATTTAGGTTGTTCGGGCTTGGGCTTTAGATGACCGTGCTCTTAGGACCTTAGGATGTTCGGGCTAGCATGGCAGGGTTGGTGGTCATTACTAGTATCATGATGAGCATGTGTTATCGTCTGCGACAATAGCATTGACTTGGGCTTCCTTCCTCCATAGTGACAGTATTTGGATTGATCCTTGTTTATTTGGAACCTTCATTCCTAGAAGGGGGAGGGTTGTCAGGGACTACATTCTCATACGTGCCACCATACTGATTGTTCGTACAACATTACCATCAATGACCTTAGACTTTACTCTCGACACTACTGTTGTCCTTCGTTGTGTGAAGACTCTGTGCATTTCAAGACTGTGACGGCCGGGATTCGCATCTTGATTCGAACAAACCCACATGGACGAAAGACTACGGTTGCTTCCTGATTATTCGTAGTCTTACTACTGTTTGCAGCATTAGTATTAGAACGATTGTTGTTATTGTAATTACTGCCAGTGACCCTCCACCTTCAAAAGCTGCAGACTCTGGAGAAACCCACCAAATCCCAAAGCTTACAGCTTCAAGCGGATTACATACAATTAAATTCTCCGGAATTCTCTCAAAACCCGCGGATCTCGTGGAGTTTGGGGCTATCGGAGCCGGGCTTTCGGCTTCAGAAGTTCGAGAACACCATCTGGGGAAGAAGGCCTTGCTTGGGAGTATATCATAGTCGATTATAGCATATTATAGCAAATAAAAGTATATGATAGTATATGATAGTCTATTATAGTGTGTTATAGAATATTATAGTTACTATAGTATATTAGAGTATATTATAGTATATTATAGGGGGTTCAGGTCTTCAGAGTCAACCCGACCAGGCCTGGGTTGGGGCTGCGCTTCTCACCATGAAGCAGTATACTGCAGCATCTCTCCGTCTACTGTTACCTTAAAGCGCCTTAAAGTATACATATAAATATAACTATATATATATATACATACATATAGAGGTGTATGTTATGCATATGTGTATGTGTGTATATAAGTATGTGCAAAAAATGTCAGTCGGTGTATGCATTTATACTTGTGTCCGTATGTCTGTATGCACGTACTAAAGCAGGCACTCACGCATGAATGCATGGATGGGTGAGGGTACACAATTGGGCTGCAAGTCCTCGTGCAGGACAGCCCGCGCCGTGTACAACTGGCTGAGTCCCGACGTCCTGGGTCTTGCAATGACTTTGGTGATTACGTTGGGTTGAGGGTTGAGGGTTCACTTTAGAGTTCGCGTTCAGGGTTTTAAATTTTGGGCTCATGGCGGGAGGTTGAAGGTGCGAGAGTGATACCACTATCAGCAACTGCTACTATGCACAACAGCTACTACGACGAACTTAAGATGTCAATACGTTAGGCCCCCCCCCCTTTTTGGTATGATCGTCTATGCAATAGCGACCAGTCTTGCTGCTGTTGCTACTATGTTATCACTGTCAGATTAAACTCTACTGTAAGTAAACCCATATCCGCTTGAGAGTTCTGATCGTCTTTCCGCTTCTCCGTTCGTCAGATCAAAGGATCTGCTGTTTAGCGGATACGTGGTCCGGGGCTTTTGTTCAGGGACTTTTCAGAACTAGTTTTTTTAGGACTTAGGAATTTGTGGTTTATGGCTACGGGTCGGCGAGGTCCAATGGCCGGGCTTTTGCGAACGTGGCAAAGCCAGTTGCAACCAGCAGGTTGAGGTTCAAGTTTTTCACAAGATCACACACTGTTTCTAGCAAGCCTAACGAACCACGGCCCTCAAGCAATACAAGACGGCCGTAGTGGGATTCCGACGACATACCCTGCACACTTTCCCCAAGCCCTAGATTCCACAGCCGGAGAGCCGTAGCCACTGGTGGAGCACGTCCAGAGGGGGCCGGTAGTCCCCCGAGTCCAGCGCAAGCTGGAAAATTGTGGAGAGGTCAGGCTGAGTGACACAGGGGCCGTGATAATTTGAACAGGGTTCCGGCATGTAAGAGTTGCTTTAGAGGGTCAGTTCGAAAGGTGCATCCGAACACTACCACATGTTGAACAGGCACATGAAGATGATGAGGCCACGCACATACTTCGAAGTCTCTAACTGTTAGATCTGGATATCGGACAGTCTACTGTGTAAGGGTCGTTTAGAGGTAGTGTATTATGTATATTCTCCTACCAGCATCTTCAGAACCATCAGGGGACACTGTTTCTTATCGTTCAGATCCTCTACCTCATAGAACCCTAGAACCTCTTATATGGCCCCGGTAGAAGTCTACAACAAAAACCTCATAGAACCTTCATAGAGTCGCAGAGCCCTGTAACCAAACCCTAAGCCCGAAACCCTAACACCCAAAACCTCCAAAAAACATCCAACCCCAGAACCTAAAACCTTTGGGGTAGAGTATAGAACCCTAAACCCCTAAACCCAAAACCCCCAAACCTAAAAACCTCTCAACCCTGGGGAAGCCGAGCCCCACCTTCTCCTCTGTGCGGAGGATCGCAAAGTGCACGCGGCCGGCGCGGAGAAGCTGTGCAGCTCCTCCATCCAGAAGGTTGCTAGGGCTTTCGAAACCCCAAACCCCAAATCCACTAAATGGTGTTTAGGGGTGCTAGGGCTTTCGAAACCCTAAAGCCTCAACCCTAAAGCCACTAAATGGGGCTTAGGGGTTTTGGGTGCTGTAGGGCTTAAGAGGCTTCATTCCTTGAAGCCGACCTGGGGGTTGGGGATGAGAGACTTCGAGTTTCGGCGGAAGGTCTCGGCAACGGAAACTAAGTTTCTTCACGTGAATGCACGAGTCAACTTTTGTGTTTCGCTTTTGGGGTTCAGGGCTTTTGGGTTCTAGGGTTTTTTACGGTCTGGGGCTTGTATTCTTGAGAGCAGGAGGACTTATTGCCGGACACACACGGGAACCTCAAGGGAAGATCCTGCGCTGTTATGCTGCTGGGGTTGCTCATTGTATCCTCGAAGCTGCAAGACCACGTCAACCACCCTGAGACCCTGAAGCACGAATCTGCATCTCCTTTAAGGATGCCCAACTCACGGCCATCTGTATGTACCTTCAGCGCCACGAAGTCCTTCGATGTAAATCCTGCCAGGGTAGGGGCCTTTCCATAAGCTTGAAGCACTGAGGCTTTCGCTGCGGGGAGAGGGGCTCCTAAGTCCGACACCGGAGCTTCTGGCTTGGGGCGCACATGTACAACAGCTTTTGTCTACCACGGCTGGTAAACGCGGAGCTTCAACAAGGAGATCCAAATTCAAAGCAACTCAAACACCAAGGCGACTGTCTTGCGAGGAGACGTTAAGCCTAAAGCCTGAACCATAGAGAGGGGGAAACGACATCGGAGTGCTTGCCTCATTTGCTTGGGAGGCCGAAGGTAGGAGTTGACCCTATGATCCTGACCACTTGCATCCTAAGGACCTATACAACAATACTGTAACATACATAAATGAATACATAAGTAATATACATATATATATATATATGTACTAGTTTACTGCTAGTCAGAGTTGAGACCTCTCAGGTCCCGAAGCCTTC